ATCATCAACTTGCCTATTAATCGAACTCCAGGATCATGTCATTGCCAAAGCTTCTGATCATATATGGTAGAATCTCAGTCTTCTCCATCTCCACTTCCATTGTCTCCTCCACTGTCTCGTCCGGTGGTACAATGGAGGCTGATGGCAATATAACCGACTCTCTCTGAGAGTCGAGTATCTGGTTCAACCTCTCCTCACTCACTCCAAATGCATTCGCAAATTCAGGCCCTCTCATTGTCCGCAGCAACGAGTTCACCCCCACCAAGAACTGAGGCCGATTCTGGCGTGCAGATGTGGTGAAACCAAAGAACTCAAAAGGGCCGGATCTTGATGCGATCTGGCAAAACGGGAAGTATCTTGGAATCCAAAACACATTGCCTTCGGTTACTTTGGCATTCATGGCTAGGCTTCCATTAGGGTACGCAATTTGAATTGTACCGGCTCCTCTTAGTACAATACCATACTCGGTCGCCCTTGGATTGATATGTGGTGCCATCATCGAGCCCTGCATTTGATCAACAGCATCGTTTCAGGTAACCAAAATGAATCGTGCATGGTACATTGTTAGTGAACAAGACTGGACAGTGTAAGCTACAAAATTTTAATGTCCTTTCCTTAACATAATAAAGTATTATCCAGTTTTGCCTACTGAATATGCACAATGTGATGAATATTAGCACGTATCAAATGATCAAAAGCCTCGACTAAGGCCTACCGCAGAGAGATTGACAAGATAAATGCTAGCATCCGAATGGGCAAGGGGTGAGAAATCGGACTCGTCCAAAGCAATGCTGTATCCATAATTGTTCTTAAAATCAGGCTTTCTATCATAGATATTGTAAGAACCGGGCCCTTTAATTTTTTTGTCCTCCCTTTCCTTCGTTGCCTTTCCAAATACAGAGATCAAAAGCTTCCTAAACGACCATTTTGGTTCTTCACTAAATTTTTCCTCCAAATGAACAACTCTCTTCAAGTGAGCCAGTTTCTGATGATGCTCGAGATCCAAAAACCCGGCCCATATGTTCGAGGTTTGAGAATTGGATAGAGAAATGATTGGACCAGCTTGTTGCCTCGTCAGCAGTTCCTTTAATTCGGGTATAGAAACCTGTCAAAGTGACAGCATAAGGCGTTACAATCTTGATAAAAGTACAATAGAATGAAATCGTGATACTAAAATTCTCACTCACGTTGAATGCTGTTGACAGTGTAAAATGATCAAAGCCTGAAAGTATCGACATTGGATATGTTCCTCCACCAATGAAGAAAGACTGCACCATACGAATGAGAACAATCAGAAAAATCCCAAGAAATGACAATGTGTTGGTTAAACTTCCGTAGACAGGTTGATTCAGTTCAATATCTCAAGGAAATCGTAGAAAAATTTTGTGTATCAAACGAGCAAAGTGAACAAACATAATTATAGCAAAATCAACGTCCACTTGACACTGCAAGTTCTCCGTAAAATCGAGAAGAAATTTACAACGAAAATTGGAATGAATCATCATATATTTCTCGAAACAAATGA